ACCTGAATAATTCAAAGGACTAAGACTGTTGTGCTTTTGTAGTTTTTTTGATTACACTCAGTTGTCGCTTTTAAATGATGACAGTTTACCAGCACTGCTTCTATACTGCTGCTTTATTTTATAGTAGAGACACAGGAAAGAAACTACCTGTTTGAGTGAAGGCTCCCTTATGAAATAAAGACTACTCATCCAAAGGGCTCTTTTCTTACTTGCAAATTGAGGTTGCATCCCAGAACCTTATATTAACAGCAATCTGACCCCGGGCTGAATAGCAAATTATTGTGGGTACTGATAAATCTAGTATCATCACTCAGGTAACTTATTTTTTGGAAAAGGGTAACACCAAACTAAATGGTCTAGTTACCTGAATGCTTTGTTCATGAACACAAAATAATGGCAATTTAAACATTAAGCTCGGGCCGGCCCTGTGGCTTGGTGGTTAAGTGCGCGCGCTGCGATGCTGGTGGCCCGGGTTCGGATCCCGGGTGCGCATCGAGGCACCACTTCTCCGTTCATCCTGAGGCCGAGTCCCGCATACAGCAACTAGAAGGATGTGCAGCTACGACATACAACTATCCACTGGAGCTTTGGGGGGAAAAAATAAAATAAATAAAATCTTTAAACATTAAGCTCATAATATATGCCTGTAAATAAACATAGCAAGTTGAAATACAAGATGTATTTTATAGAACAAGAGTAGGAAATTTATTTTCCTGCCTGTTCATATAAAACTCTTTCCATAAGAGAGGAAAATTTTTCATTACCTCAGAAGAAAATAGGCTGGAAATGTCTTCTGTAAGATGGAAATATGAAAAAATAACTCAAACTTGAGAAGTGATGAGAGGAAGAAGTAAAGGAGACATCAGATTATTTTAAGTTTATTACCTCATCTACTCTTATAGAAGCTTTGCCAGATAAACATTATATTATTAACACTTATCACTCCTGAATCAACAGTCATCACTTTGTCATATAAAAGGCTCCCACTGGTTTTTAGATGTAGATTTATTTCTTTAGATTCAAAGGATTATCTTAAAGCTAATGTACTCTAATAACAAAAAGGTGATAGTGTTTTATTTGTAAAAGTAACATTAGTAACATTAAAATCATTTTTGAAAAAAACACTTATATGATTCAATAATGATCATGTTAACTTTTTGTCTTTGTATTGTATTTTTATTTTTTATTTATTTTTTTTGGTGAGGAAGACTGGCTCTGAGCTAACACCTGTCGCCAATCTTCCTCTTTTTCCTTGAGGAAAATTGTTCCTGAACTACCATCTGTGCCAATCTTCCTCCATTTTTTATGCTGGATGCTGCCACAGCATGGCTTGACCAGCGGTGCATAGGTCTGCGCCTGAGATCCGAACCCACAAACCCCGGGCAGCTGAAGTGGAGCACGTGAACTTAACCACTACCCCACTGGGCCAGCCCCATGTCTTTGTATTATATTTTTAAAGTTAACTCCAGTACACCTTTTAATTTACAATTGAGATTTTATTTCCCAATTCTTCCACAGATGAAATTTTAAGGGATTTTCAAGCCCTGTATAATACAGTATCTCTCAAAATTTTGGCCACCAATCAGATGTGAGATTATTTTCTGGGGCCCAAAGACAGGATAAGTGATAATGGATCAAGTGAGGAAATTATTCCCTCTTCATTCCGTTTTAGTTCCTAGACTGTATCAGGAAGTCTCAGATTGGTGCCAGAATGTTATCAGAACTTCCGTAATTATTGCTAACCTCCCTTTTAAACAAAAAACAGCCAAGTTTCAGGCTTAGAGTCTTCAGCAGGCAATAGTTTCTAGCTAGAATTTAACAAAACACTGTTTTGTTTTCATTATCTTTATGCCTACCTTCTGTTTATGGTAAGTGATACCTTCTTTTTACTTGTGGTGGTGATTTCAAGTTTCCTTTAAAAATTATTTTAATAATCACATTGATATAAAGAAATATTAAGAAAATCAGTATACAGGAAGTATGCAGCTAGGCCCAAATTTTGAAGATGATATAAGAATGAGTGAAGTTTGAGAAATACTACATTTTGTCTATTTGGTTAACATCCCATTGGTTTAGCCACCATGAAAGACAGAAAAGGATGTTCAAAGGAATATATACAGGAAAGTCAGACGAGAAGGAAATTACTTCAAAATGAGGTAATCAAAAAAGGATTCACAGACAAGGTGGCATTTGAGCTAGGACACGATAGGTATGATTTAGACATGCAGAGACAGGGAGAGCATTTGAAGAGAGCAAAAGTGTAACAATACAGGCCTGAGTGGTGGCATGTTCCAAATCTTGATTATGGGGGTGGTTACTGGGGGGTGTGTATCATGTACACATGAGTGCACATTATTATATGTAAATTTTTCCTTAATAAATTCGATAGCATATCTTTGACCTATACAATGAAAAGTCATTGAGGTTTCAGGCTTGGATAGCTTGGGGAGGGGGGAAGTAAATGCAACAAAAAGGGAAATCACAATTTAAAGACAAGGAGATCAAAAGAACTTATGTGCACACAATAAATTTTCAATAAAAACTTTTAGTTATTATACAAAAATAGCAGCTATATACTTCTACTTAATAGTTTCACTTCAGGAAGAGAATTTACCTGAATTAAGGCTTATCCATTAAAATTAAAGGTACTATTCCCACCCCCCTCAAACAAAGGAGCACATTACTAGCACTCACCCCTAACAAAGTAACAAAGAACGGACAGAAGTATCCATGTGTGCTAGTGATATCTGACAGAATTTAGCAAAATAATTTAAGATTGTATTCAACACTTAGATCCCATTTGTAAGCAACTTAGAAATAACTGTCTTAGAATTTGTTTTAACCTTTAACTCTTTTCAATGACCTAAGCTCTTAAAATTATGTAGTTATTAATTATGAAGTACATTTCAAGTGGCTTTTTATCACATTTCATAGTTTAAGAATTCATGACTAGAGAGGCAAACCATTCATAATAAAAATAATGCCATTATCAAGAATTTACTTGTTGGAACTTTATAGCACCATTAACAAAATCCATAACTTGACCATAAAATCAAATTCAAAACATGAATTAATTATGGTTATAGAAAAGCACCAAGAGACCAGAAAAAAGAAGATACTCTCCTGCCATAAATGAAAGCATTAAGTCTCACAGAAACCTATGTGTACCCTTAATATTAATATTTAACTAAGCTTTTTGTTATACCAGTGAGTTGCCACTAGATGTTCATGCTCCAGAGAGCTTAAACTGACAGCCGAAAAAGCATAGTGTAGGGAATTTTAGAGCTGAAAGGGGACTCAGTTCAAGTACAGTAATTTTCAAATTGGTATTCTATGTAACTATATTCTAGGAGATGTTAACACGTTGGCCATGAGAAAATAGGCTCCCTGGCCATGTAAGTTTAGGAAACGCTTCGATAATCTTCTCTGGAGATTTACATGCATATAAATATAGCATTAAAGGTTTTGAGAAGTCCTGCAGTTAAAAGTAAATTAAAAGTTAAACCTAATTTAACCCAATGTGCTCCCAAATTATTTGCCATGGAACACTGTTTTGGGGCAGTAAGCCTATTAATGGATTCAGAACAGCGTTCAGGGGAAGCATCCGTTTGCAAAACTCTGATCCTATGAAATTCCCTTAAAACAGGTGACAAAACTGAGGCCTAGAGAGATCATACCTGGTTAGCAGGAGAACAAAGGACTTGAGTGAAATCATTCATTCCCAGGCCAGAGCTCTTTCCACTAATTTAACTACAAAATAGGACAGGCTTGACTGTCAACCCTCAAACATTTAGTTAACAACATTTAACTTACATTTAACATTTTGGTTATGGTGTTATATTTTCTGGTTTGTGTATTAATTTAGGTGTTTTTAATTCTTCCTTTAAGACTTGGGTTCCTAATAATCAGGCCCACCTGGCGATTTGCTATTGTTTAGCAATTCCAGGCAATGAGTTCCTTCAGAGTGGCAGCTGAAAGTAATCACTAAAATAAAGCATTTATACCACAACTGGTTTGGTTTTAATTTACTCTTGTTATAACTTCCGTCAACTCAACTAAATCACTGTGTTGTTTATCAGGGGGTGAGTTACTTAGCCGACGTGTGTTATCCACAGTAAAATGCAAGATCTTGTGTCTGCATAGAAGGTAGCCAACGACATCGCAATTGAGAGATTTTGTCTTTCTATAGTTCAGGGCTTGTCAGCCTTAGCTTAGCTTATTATTTTTTTGGTACTTATATAAAAAAAAGTTTTGATTGCTTTAATTACAATCTCCAAATCAGATTTTCCCAATCTTTATATTTGTCAACCTCCACAGAACTCTAAGATAGTGTAAGAATAATCAAAACACAATTTACTTAGCTTTAAAAAAAGTACAGTTTTGTGTCACCCCCCCTCCCCCCTCAGGATACGGGAGAAGAATGGAAGAGAACAAGTAACTATTGTTATGTCGCAACTTGAAAAGGCTTGAGAATCAAAGGTGATCACTGTTAACAACTTCCTTACGACTAATCGGACTTCCTCTAATAAACTTCTGCACTGCTCTGCAACCCCGCCCCCCGCCCCCCCGCGGAACATTAACCGTGGCTGGCCTTCACGTCTCCTCAATCTTAAAAGCACCCACCAGATGAAGGAGACCAGACGATGCCTGGATTCCGCCAACAAAGAGGTTACCCCGCGCGCCCCGATCGCACAGGTGCGACCTCCACCCCAACCTTGCGCACGGCTCGGCCTCAGCGCAGAAGGCTCGGGACCGGCCACCGGCCACTCCGGACCCCTGCGCGGGCGCCTCCGCCCGGCCCGCGGGTCCCCAGAAACCAGAGCGCGGCCGGCCGGCTTCGCGCGGGCTCCAGGCGGGGCCAGGGCGGCAACACCCCCGGCGCCACAGCCGCCGACCCGCGGGGCGTCCCCGCAGCTCCGGTGCGAGCCGGGCTGAGGAGGCCGCTCAGGGAGGGCCGGCGGCCGGCCTCGCGACCGCGCTGGGGGCGGGGACGCTGTTACCTGCCGTGGGCTCGGCCGCTCCCCGCCGGCGCCGCTCTCCTGGCAACCGCGACAGCGACACCGAGGCCGGGAGCCCAAGGGCCTACTGACAGCTCCCAGCGTGCACCGCGCCCACGCCGGCGTCGACGTCGACGGCCCTCGGTCCCGCCCCCGTCCCTGCCTCCCTCCCGTCACAAGCTGTCGCGACAGCTCCCTCTAGCGGATTGTCGAGGAAGCGGCCCACGGCCACCAACTGCGGGAGTGGGCTTGGAGAGGGCTGTAGCAGGTGTTTTCAAGTCGCCAGCGCCGGCCCCACCTTGATGGAGAGTTTGGCGGGATGCTAGGAATTGAGAACAGCTTTTAAATATTATTTAAGAATTAAGTATTATTTAAATAATTGTTCAGTATTTCATATGAAAAATTTGAGGCCCAGAGAAGTTAGAAAACTTGTGAAGTTGGGAAACAAATAGTTGTTATCAGATTTGGAACTATTTTGAGTCTAGAACTCTCTAAATCATGTAGTTACTACAAGGAGGATTACACCATTTTACCTAAACCGTAGGGTCAAAAAAAAATTGAACTTTTTTACGAATGTATGACTATAGATGAAATATACCAATCTTTAAAAATAATCAAACACCAATTATGAAGAGCATACTATGCTAAAAATGTTATATATTGCAATATAACGTGTCAGTATTTAAGCACTTAATAGCCTTGAGAATTAAAGGTGGAAGATAGAAGTTAAAATCATCACCCTTCATCACTCCTATTTGAGACGGAATAGCAGTAAACAATTCTTTTAACTGTATCATTACCTCCATTCATAATTTTGAATTACTGTGATGGATACAGGAATTTGTGAAACAATATGATAAACTTAAAAAACTCTGAATACCGATTTTAGAAAAATTGTCTTAAACTAGTATCTCTAGGGAAGTGGGTTTATTATTTGGAAAATCTTCAAATTAATATGTTTGGTGTGTGGTAATTATGACCTTGAAATGATAAAGTAGAATATCAATAAACATACGATTTTCTGTATATGCCATCATTTGTTTCTGCTTTAAATAACAGCCTCTTGTTTTTAAAGAATTATTATTATAATTCTACCGTGGCCTTATATTTTAATATTCCCCAGTTATAAGTATTTACATTATACTAGATCTTTTTCTTTACCCTGTCAAACTTAACCAAAACTTTCTTTTAGTAGTTATGAGATTACAACTTCTCTAGGTCAGTTTTTACTTCTGCAAAAGTGAATAGTGTAAATGTACATATGGAATCATTCTCATCTTCCTTTTTTCAAAGGTTATAGGAATGGCTTATCCTGTGATTCACGATACTGGATTTAACCACACTCTCTGCACAGACAGAAAACTTCTCACATTTTTGCCAGTGTTTCCATCGTGGTCTAAATTGAGAAGCAATGCCAAGTCAACCCTGGATATTTGTTGCCTCAGACAGGGGAGAGCTACGAACGACCGACCATAGTTCATAAAAAAAGAGACCACAGTTCTTAAAAAAGAAAGAAAGAAAGAAAGAAAAACAAGATAAAGTGGACTTCGCGTGGGGAATTCTGCTCTCGGGCTTTCTGGGGACGGTGGCCGCTTCCACCGCCTCCGTCCATCATCCCCCTCTTCCAGCCTCTTCCCTACCCGCGGAGGCCAAAGGGGTGTACTTCGGCCCTGATTTTTAAGGTCATTTCCAGGGAGACTATCGCATCAGGTCACGCCCGTAATTCGCAGAGTGGGAAGACAGCATGGCTCTCCCCGCCCACCTGTCTCAGCGATCAGTCGGAAAGCCGGGATTTGAGAATGCTCGCGCCCCGGCGTGGAGTCCCCGCGGCGGCGCGCTCTCCGCCCGGCAGGCGGCGCTGTGGGCTGGCAGGCTCTGTCCGCGGGGCGAGCCGGTCCGGGAGCTCCGCGCCGCCGCTGCTGCCGCTTCTGCTGGGGCCGCACGTGCGGGCGCTCCAGGCCCTGGTGGCCCGGCTTCGCCAGAACCTCCGGCCGGGCGCCCGCCATGGCGGCCCCTGCGGCGGAGACGCGCGTGTTCCTGGAGGTGCGGAGACGGCTGCAGAGCGCGCTGCTGATCCTGGGGTAAGGCCAGGGGCGGGCGCGGAGCCCGGCTCGCTCTTCTGCTTCTCGGGGAGTCTCTGCCTCCCTCGGAACACCGATTTTGAGTTTCTTCTTTCCAGCTGCTTAAAGCCTCTCGGTTACTCAAAGTGGAGTGTTCTCCCCCCTCGATCCCCACGCCATAGTCCCCCCGTCGATTGGCAGTCCAGGCATCACTTGGGAGCTTGTTAGAAATACGGAGTCTCAGCCCCACACCAGACCTGCTGAATCGGAACTTACATTTTAACATGCTTCCCAGGATTCAAATGCACATTAAAGTTTGAGGAGCACTGATGTGAAATACCGTTGCCAGTGCCCGGCGTTTCCAGCAAAACATTGCAAAAAATGCCTTGTCTACCTCTTTCGGAATCCTTGTTATAAAATCAGTTCCAGTGGGTGAGCTTCCTGTTTTGTAAATAACTTCAGGGTTTTTTGTTTTTCTGTCCTGTGCTGAGAAAGTGACACAGTCATTCAGTAAACGTGTGTTCGGTGAACGACTGACAAAGGTTGCAGATTTCTTACTGGAGGTCATTCTTTTATTCATATTCCGGGTTCCAATGAGAAGTCTGCAAACGTTTAACTTGTTATTCACTACACAAACAAACTTTTAGGAAAAGTGTTCTCTTTTTTGTTTGGTAGTATGTGGTCCCCTCGACTATTCCATCGTGACTGCTGTTTCAGGGTAAATTAGATGTTAAAATCCTGAGAAGTTTATTACACAGCACCACACTGAGGTAGATTGATGCTTAGCTTTCTGTTTTTTCCTTAAATCAGCCAGGTGTCTAGTGAGACAGTTTGGGATTTGGCATGAGAACTGAGTTATTTAATCTGAATTTTTTCAGTTGTAACGTGGGGATGATATTTATTACTTTTCTTCTTTTTTTTCGCTCTCTTTTTTCCTCTCTCTCTCTCAAATCATGAGTTCAGGTATCTCCAATTCCGATCCACCTTGTAGGGTTATTAGGAGCCCAAACAAAACAAGTCAAGCCAACCTCCCTACTTCCATCGAAGGGGCCCTTCAAGTTTCTCCTGGATTCCTCTCCCTTGTTTAAGCAAGTTAAGAAACCTAACTTTACTGGACTACTGGTTTGTCCCTGGTGGTCTTTGGCTGTTGAGCTTTATCATCAGTCAATTCCCTCTACCCTGAAAGCAAGCACTGTTCTGATTTCATTCAACAAAGATTAGTTTTGCCATTTCTTGAACTCTGTATAAATGGATTCATGCAGTATATACTTTTTTGTTTCTGGCTGCTTTCCTTCAACAGTGTTTCTGAGATTCATCTTTCGTCTATGGCATTGCATATATCAGTAGTCCATTCTTTTTTCTTGCTGAGTAGTTTTCCACTGTATACAACAATTCATTTATCCATTCTTCTATTGCTGGATATTTTGCATGTTTATAGAGCTTGCTTATTATGCATAAAGCTGCCATAACATTGTTGTGGTTAAGTCTTTCTGTGGACATACATTTTCATTTGTCTTGGATGGACTTGCTAGGTCGTAGGGTAGATGGGAGCTTTACTTTATGAGAAACTGCCAAACAGTTCTCCAAAATGGTTGCACCAGTTTATATTCTTGCCAGAAAAAAATGAGACTTCCAATTGCTTCACATTCTTGTCTGCATTTAGTATTGACAATCTTTTTGATTTTAACCATCTCTAGTGGTATAAAGTGATATCTCATTGTCGTTTTAATTTGCATTTTCCTGGTTAATACTGTTGAGCACCTTCATATTTGCTTTTTGGTCATTCATATATGCTCCTTCATAAAGTATCTTCTAATTATTTCCTATTAAAAAAAAATTAGGGGGCCGGCCTGGTGGCATAGCCGTTAAGTGTGCGTGCTCTACTTCGGCAGCCTGGGGGCTCGCGGGTTCAGATCCTGGGCCTGCAGCGATGCACTGCTTGTCAAGCCATGCTGTGGCGGCGTCCCATATAAAGTAGAGGAAGATGGGCACAGATGTTAGCCCAGGGCCAATCTTCCTCGGCAAAAAGAGGATTGGCATCGGATATTAGCTCAGGGCTGATCTTCCTCACACACGCGCAAAAAAAGAAATAAAAAAAAAAATCAGGTTGTTTGTCTTAGGGTTGAATAAAAAGAGTTTTTTATGTGGTCTGGAAACAAGACCTCTCTCTTGCCTTGTGAGTGTGTGAATATTTTCTCCCAATCTGTAACTTACCTTTTCATTTTCTTAATAATGTCTTTTGATGAACAGAAAATTTTAATTATAATGAAGTCCAATTGCGTTTTTTTATTTAATGGTTAGTGCTTTTTATGTCTTAAGAAATCTTTGCGTACCTCAAAGTTGTAAAGACTTTTTTCTTATGTTTATTTTCTAGGAGTTACATAGTTTTAGCTTTTACGTTTAGGTCCATGATTATGTCAGATTCATTTTTGTGTTTGGAGTGAGGTTGGGGTCAAAGTTCATTTTTTTTCCATAAAGATATCCAGTTGTTCTGTTACCATTAGTTAAAAAAACTGTCATTTCTCCTGTTGAAATAACTCAGTGTCTGTATCAGAAATCAGTTGACTGTATTGTTTGCATGGTTTGTCTTTTTCTACCCTTTTACTCTCAACCTATGTCTTTATATATAAGTTTTTAAGTATATACTTTATACTGGGTGGAGTTTTTAAAACTCCATTCTGACAATCTCTTCGTTTTAATTGTAATTTTTAGTCTATTTACAGTTAATGTAAATAGTATATTGAGTATTATTCTTGTTCTTAATCTTAAATGCCTCTAGAATTTCATCATTAGATATGACGAAGTTGACTTTTGATGAATCTGTTTGGTAGATTGCGTAGTTCCTTTTTATTCCTAGGTTACCAAGGGTTTTAATCATGAATAGATACTGTTTTTTATGTAGTGATTCTTGCAGGTATTGTGATGGTCCTATTTTTTTCCTTTAATCTTTACATCTGTGAATTGCAGTAGAAAAAGTTATTTATGTTAAACTATCTTAGCATTCCTGGGATAAACCCTGGTCATTCATTTATTCAGTCCACAGATGTTTACTGAGTTCCTATTCTAGT